CCCATCCATTCCACCACCTCCGGCTATTACGCACAGACAGCGCACCGCACCGCCGACGCCCCACCCGATCTTTCAAATCGCCCGACGCAATCGTCGGGAAGGGCAATGGAGCTTATCCGCCAACGACGCTTGACTGTGGTACGACGACCCCCGACATCCCCGCTTTGGGCCAGTTATATTAGGAGAGCGAACGAGGTGGCTCGAGAGATGTGGGCGCCGTCAACGTGGCAGCAGAGAATGTTTCTAGCGGGCAATTTGCAACCTTATGCCGCACGCACGAACAGCCGATCAACGAGGAGAGCCGCGCGGCCTTTTGATGGCAACATTAGATGTGGCGCCATGGACCTGACCGCAGTACGCCAGGATGCTGCGGTCCATGTCGGAAATGAATCGAACCCCGCTGGGCATGATGATTCTGGGGTTACAAAAAATTGCGGCGCGATGGGAGACGAAGCAGGCGCGCCCCTTAACAAAGGAAGAGATGAATCAAGTTATCCGCAGCCGAACCGATTGGAAGGAACGTGTTGTTTTTCGACTTGCGTGGATAACGGCGAGTCGTTGGTTTGAGATTGCGGCCTTAACACCCAACAATTTTACACTGGAGCCGGACGGGACCATAGTTTTGATTGGCCCGTGGCGCCGAAGACGGCGAAAGCGGATCCCCACCGCGCCTCGCGGTTCGTGAGGATACGAGGACAGGACGCCTTCGACATTATAAAGCTATGCAGAACACTTCAAGAGAACGAAAAGCTCACGAATATTACGACTGCCCACGTGGAACGAGCTCTGGCTCCTTGGAATGCCACGGCGCATTCCATAAAACGCGGTGCGTTGCGGCACGCTGCTCCAATCGTGGAGGCGTACAATTTGGACCCACGCGTGATCTCGCAGTTGGCGAAGCACGTCAATCCGTTCGACCTTCCCCAGAATACTGTTTGATATTTGTGGAAGTACACCACAATGCTGACCCAGTTGTCGTCGCTGGTCGCATTGATGTGAAGGGAGAAACTGCGGACGGGCAGGAACCCTGGCTGAAAGCAGAGGAGCGTTTTTTCCATGATTTTAATCATCATGCTGCTACAATAAAGAGACGCGCGAAAAGGACGCGTCTGACCACTCCACAAGATGAACACGCTATCCCGTTACAGCGAGTCAACGTGCCCGTATTGAATACCAAAGTGGATCATGAGTCGGTTGAACCCGGCTACCTTGGAGAGTCTCATGCAAGTTTGGGGACTCGTCGGGCGGTCCCCTTTCCCTCCGTCTTCCTCCGGTAAGGCGCACGAAGGCTCACGGAGGATTCCAACCTCTGGCGCGCGTTTGTTACGAAAGGCGGGAATAATCGAGGACGCTTTGTCCACAATAACAGGCGGATGGACAATACCTTTTTCGGTTGTGGAGGAGAAAACCACCGGTTTACGACGACGATGGATCGCGTGGCCACGCGACAAGAACAGAGACGACCCTTATGAGGCGAATGTTCCTCTTTTACACATTTCCCATTATTTGCCGCCTGTGATGGCTGAGGCCGCTTCCTGCCTGGATTTAAAGGCATCCTTTGCTCAAGTTTCTTTACCGCGGGAGACTCGGCATCTCTTTCGATGCCGCGTGGAGGACGGCACGCTGTTGGAGCCGACATGGCTCCCAATGGGATACAAGGCCAGCCCAGAAATTCTCCAGATTATTATTTCGGCAATTGCGGTGGTGACGACGATGGTTCACCCCCTCTGGGCTGCACCTCCATTGGTGCGTATTGGCGTTTGGATCGATAATATACGCATTGCAGGGTCGAAAAGCGGTGCGACATTGTGGGAAGCCCAAGTGCTTCGTAATGCGGACGGCTGTCACGCATCCATGGGGGAGGACCGCAAATCGGGCGCTACGCAGTACACCTTCCTGGGGGTGCAGTTTGATCACACTCACCGGGCGGTATCCCTGAGTGACAAGTTTGTCCGGTCCGTGCGCGCCATGTCGGCGCTCAATTCTTCAACCATCGCGGAAATGAAGGTTATGGCGTCACGCTTTTTGTACGCGGCTGCCATTTTGGGCACGCGTTTATGTGACTACTACTTTTTCAAGGCAGTGCGACGACGATTATCCGCACTTAACCGGGGGATTGTGCAGGAGACATTCCCGGCGAACCTTCCGCCGTCAGCGGCTGGTTTGGGCGAGAGATGAGGGCACATCATCGAGAATATAATCGCAAGCGAATCATCAAGCCCACGGAAAAGGCATCGGCCGCCATCATCACGGATGCATCGCTCCATGGATGGAGAGCCGTTTTTATTCCAGACTCCGGCGGCGTTAAAATTGCCGGAGGGAAATGGGAGAGGAAGCCTTTTCTTATCATGCAGGCCGAGGCGCGCGCGGTACGCTTAGCCTTATCGGTCTTTTCCGCCATCTTGCCATCCACCATGGACGTTTGGGTGGGCAATAATTCGCTGCAAGGAGCGGCGAATAAAGGCAGCTCGAAATCGCACGCGTTGACGTGTGAGCTGCAACGGATATATGAGTTTTTAGACTCTCGCGGAATACAGGCATCCTTTGCATACGTACGGTCTGCAGAAAACCCCGAAGACGGCATATTGCGCGGTCGTGTGTTTACACTTCAGGACTTGGCGAAGGGGTGGAACTTGCGAAGGGGAGCGGCGGAGTCTTTTGGCTTGAGGACCCCAAAGTCTGCCACGTCGTAAGCGATGCGTATATATATATCCCATCCGAATAGAGTGAACAGGTCATGATTGTTGCAAACGGATGATATATATATGCATATATATATATGCACTTACTAGGTGTTAAACTTCGAGGATGTGGTGAACTCGCTCTTATTCCGTTTATCCCTTTCTTATTCCTATCTTGTTTGGTTCCTATTATTGATAAACTCAGGATTCGGCCTGCGGCACATAAAATCATTCCCATGTCAAAAGAGAGAATCCCCCACACCGCCGCGCAGCATCATGCGTTCGGAGACACACCGCCTCCCTCAATCCTCGTACTC